CGTTTCCACGGTGACCCACGGTGAGCCTCCTTTACGCGTCCTTGATCACTAACGTGTCTCAGCTTGTTTTAGGAAAGTGTGAGAATTCCTTTTGTTGCCATGCAAACGCATCGATAGACGATCAGAGCGGCTATGAGACCTTCGTAGGAACACTGAAGCCTTAATGAAACCTCACGTCTGCTTCCTCACCCTGATTGTTTTTTCTCTCTGCAGCAAATGAAGATGGACAGAATGAACCAGATGAACACGGATGGCAACATGGGCCCCCCACAGGGACAGGGCTCGATGCCCCCCTTCCCGGGCCCCGGCGGTCCCGGGGGCTCCATGCCTCCTGGTCAGCAGGGCTGTCCTCCAAACATGCCTCCTCAACAGATGTCCAACACCATGGGCCCCCCAATGGGCCCTGGAGGCATGCAGCCTACATTTATGGGCCCTGGACAGATGGGCCCACCCTCTGGACCCCAGTCTCACCAGGGGCCCCCTCAGAGCATGATGGGGCCACCGGACATGCAGGGGCCCCAAGGTATCCAGAGACATCCCGGCCCCCCAAGAAACATGGGCCCCCAGGGGTCCCATGGTATGGGACCCAGAGGGATGCAGGGGCCCCCTGGTGGCATGATGGGCCCACCCCCTCGAGGAATGGGTCCAAGAGATCCTCAAGGACCCCCACCTCAGGGGGCCATGATGCCACCTCAAGGGAACCTGATGGGCCCCCAGAGTTCTATGCAGGGGGGGATGATGGGGCCCCCACCAAGGACACATGGGAACATGCCCAACAACTATGGCATGGGCAACATGCAGGGGCCCCCAGGAGGGATGCATGGACCTCCAGGAAACATGCAGGGGCCCCCTGGTAACATGCAAGGACCCCATGGAAACATGCAGGGGCCCCCTGTTAACATGCAGGGCCCCCACGGAAACATGCAGGGGCCACCAGGAAACATGCAGGGACCCCCGTACATGCAGCACCAGGTGAGCTCCTGTAGATGTTTGGCTGGTCCACAATCAGCCCTGTGTGTGACAGACTGACGCTGACTTTATGTGGTCTCTGCAGGGTCAGAACTCGGGGCCCATGATGCATGGGATGGGGCAGCAGGGGCCAAACAACAAAGGTAAAACTGTCCTGAGTCAGATGTGGCTATTCTCAGGGCTCCTGTTCGGGGCTCTGGTGTATTTTGCCTTCTTGAGTCCTAACAGTCACTGTTGACTCCTTTTATTCATCAGACCCTCGAGGGCCACCTCCAAGCCACCACATGGGCCCTCCGGAACGGCAGGGCCCAGGGGCACCAGACCAGGGCTCAGGGTCATACTGGGGAGACAACCAGCAGGGCCGACATGGGTCGCAGGACTTTGACGGAGGCCAGGATTTCCACAGCAGAGAGGAAGGCTGGAGGCCAGGACCAGGATACCAGGGGGGAGGAGGAGGCGGCGGCCACAGGGGGGCAGGACACCGAGGAGGAGGGAGTGCAGGGAACTGGGGACCCGATGAGCGGTTCGGTGGGGAAGGCTTTAGAGGACGGAGAGATGACAGGTGAGTCCCTGATCACAGACTGTAATCAACGATGGTTGTAGGGTCATGCACTGTGCCTGAAGTCCAGCAGGGGGCGTCTCGTGCTCACCTGATCTCTGAGAATCGTTTCCTGATGAGTTTGTTCCAGAACCTCAGAGTGTGGCCTTGGACTGTTTCAGGTACAGAGGAGGCGGCCCAGGCCGGCCTGGCGGTCGAGGTTACCCCGATGACTACGGCGGCCAGGAGGAAGGTTTCGATGGCCCTGAGGAGATGGGTCGAAGCTGGGACTCCGGAGGCCACGGGAGGCCGCCTCGAGGAGGTGTTCCGCCCAGAGGAGGAGGTGAGTCTGGTTCTGGCGTGCCCCCTGCTGCTGAGTCCCTCTTACTGCAGGCTCAGGAACGCCAGAATCAGGTCCGAGTCCACACAGTCCAGAAAACCTGCAGCTGAGGCTGAACTCTTATTGTGGCGGTGCCTCTTCCTGTCTGTAGGTCACGATGGTTATCGGGACGGGCAGCAGATGCACGACGGGTCGACTCCGACCGGTCGAGAGCGCCCCTCCTCCATGCAGGGGATGGACATGGCGTCGCTTCCCCCCCGCAAGCGTCCGTGGCAGGATGGCCCAGGAACCGGCGACCCGCGAGATCACGAGTCAGAGCGACCCGACGGAGGTGAGCGACGTGTTTTCAGTTTTGCTCTGCTGTAACACTCACCTTTTTAAAAAACAGCTTTTGAACTGATATTTAAATGTTTTAAAAATGAATCCTCATCCCGCTCTGTGTTGTCGAGCAGGTCGCCCGCAGAGGGAGGATGGCGGTTATGGCCCGTCTGGTCGAGGTGGGCGGGGCGGTTGGGGCCCTGTAGGAGGCCCCAGGAGAGGAGGACCGCCACCCAGAGGAGCACCAAGGGGGGGCCGGAGCCGGTAGTCTTAGAGAAAGAAGAAGAACAAAAGTCCCATGATCCTCCTCTCCTCTGGTCATCCCCCTGCTGGTCCCTGCACAGACTGAGGGCAGGGCTTCCTGCTGGACTAGTGGTCATGTGACAGGCTGAGGCCTGTTCTGGCTCGTGATTGGTGCTGCAGAGACTGTACCGGCGTCTTTTATTCACCTCGTCTGCAGCGTTTGTCCTTTTGTAACAGATTTCTATGTTTGTGTTTTCACTGAGGTGGACAATAAAGATTCACACTTCAAACTCGTCACAGCGACTCCACCTGTGCACGGGGGGGGGGGGCATTTGTCTGTTTTGTTGTGTTTGAGTAAAGTTTTTCCTGTGGTGCTCCAGCTCAGTGCTCAGAACTCTAAGAATCTCTGAGGCTTCCCCTGAACATTAGAAACCAGCTGTGAAACTTTATTTAAAAGGATTTTGTTGGGGTGGTTTTGATAGCGCGGTGCGGCCATGCTTGTGTCAGGTGGTTCATCGCTGATCTCGTACAGGTGAGCACCTGTTACAGGACGTCAGGTCCTTCCCTGCGTTCAGGGCTGAATCTGGCTCATCATTAATCATAGCTGAACGTTTCATTTCCTGTTTGATATGTAACCTCACTGTGTAATTACTGAATAAAGTTTGTACCCCGGGAGCGTCACCTGACCTTCAGAGAAGCTCATGTGCAGCCAACTGCAGTCTTCACCTGAAGGACGCACAGGTGGACGCAGAGCCTCACCTGAGGGCCGTCACGTTCCTGGAGACACAAATGGACCTTAAAGTCTGTCCTCATCCTGGTTTCACGTGGACTCTTCGGTTTCGGCGAGTCGGTGTAGAACCTCTTAGTGAGTGTAAAAAACCTCCTCGCACGACTTCCTCCAGGAGCAGTGGTGATAATCAGAGCTCCACGTCAAACAGCACTGATCATTAAACAGTTTGCAGATCTCAGACTAAGCTCGTCAGTTTAATCTCCTTAAAATTCAGTGGAACCTGCTGTGGTTTAGTTTAAACGTACTAAAGAGACTTGACGCCTCACTTTAACACAGCTGAAGTTTGTTCCCTTCAGGTTCATTAACCAAAGCCTCGCTGCGTTCAGTCGCCTCCTTTCTTTTCTCTGTGATGTAGTGATGTGACGTTCTGTATCGAGGCTTCGGAGCGTGTGTCGAGTAATGGAGGGGGCGTTTCCGCGAAGCGCGTATCGAGGCTTGCTTCATTTATGGGAGGAGCTGAAAATGATGACGTCCGAAGCCTCGCTGCCCGGCTGTACCACGTGACTGGTTCATGAAGTGGTTCGAACTTTGCCGCGAGATATGACAGATATAAACCCCTCTGACTTCATTCAAAATGTGGGTGTTTGATGGAGAGTTGCGGTTAGTGAGAGTTTGGAGACAGTTTGGAGGTTTATGAGAGTGAGGAGAGAAAGTCAGGAGAGAATGGAGCCAGCTAAGAAGAGGAGGATGTCCTCCCCTGTGTGGGAACATTTTGATCTTATTCCTCCCAACAAGGTATGTAAATTTCTACAGAAGATGTATTTTCATGATACTGATGGTGCAATACAATTTATGTTGAGCTGCTTTACTTTTGTACAAGGTGAAGTGTTTGCTATGTGCCAGGGAGCTGGGATATGACAACAACAACACCTCATCCATGCTTAGGCACTACAGAGCTTTGCATGAAAATAAGGGGGACACCGATTGTGGAGCAAGACCAGCTGAGCCATCAAATGCAATGATAATATAGGATGCAGTAATGTTACTAAATGATATAACAATATTATACAACTGTTATAAGTTACGTGTGTGATATTTATATTTGTGCTTTATCTTTATTGTCTTTCCTCGGGAGAACAATCTCAAATAGATGAAGACCTGGTTACCATGGTGATTGAGGACTCCCAGCCATTTAGCATTGTGGAGGACAAAGTTCAAAAGATTTGTTAAATCATTAAATCCTAGCTATGTTCTCCCCACTAAAAAGGTCATAAAAGCAGTGAAAATTTAGTTTTTACAGAATAAAATGTGAACAGGCAGGAGTGTGTAGCTGTCCATACCTCAACGTTACAAAAGCACAACTACTGTCCACACCCCAACCACACCTCACCTCACAGTAAATGATCATTTCCATTTCAAGCATTTCCAAATAATCATTTCCCATACTGCCACTATAAATATACACAGTATACTGCATCACTACAATATACATGTTTTACACACTCCTTTTGTTGTTGACATTTACAGGCTGTGGGCAAAATGCCACACTCTTCAAATTCATGTCAGCTATTATTTTTACGTCCAGTAGGTGTCCTGCTAGAGCAAATGAAGCTTCATGAAGCTTCGCGTTGGGGTGAACCAATTGGATGAAAAGCTTCAGTGCTTCATGGGGCTTCATCTGCCCATCACTACTGCGATGTCAGTTTCATCATTAGTTTCATAATGTGCTGCTGAAATTTACATTGCCCTCCAACTGAACACTGTGGCTATCAGGCCGTGACCTCTGACCCCTCACACAGGAACTTCCTGTGATGATGCGTTCAAAGACCTCTGCTGAATCTACAGGTGGCTCACGTCACAACATCATCTTCACCCCCTGATGTGGTCAGACTACAATGTGCCACATGTTTAGAAAAGAAAACATATGAAGCCAGACAGATGTTCAGGTTGTTTTTAATCTCTGTGTCAAACTTAAATCACATTTATTTTAAAAAACACAAAACACCTGCATCAGAGGGAAATTCAGTTTTTAGTCTTTGTTTGGTCCTCAGTTCATCACCAGCAGCCTGGCCCTGCTGCAGGTCAAAGGTCAGGCTTTAGTGTTCTCATGAGTCCTGCAGGTCAAAGGTCAGGGTTCAGTGTTCCTCTGCAGTAAGCCATCAGCAGTCAACAATCAGAGGAAAGTCTTGACGTTAATCCGGACCCTCGACATTCCACAGCAACCCCCCCCCCCCCCCCGGATGCCCGGGTCCCGGTCAGATCGGCATGGTCTTCCCGGTGACGGTCCTCCTGATGGCGGACGCCGCCATGCCCCCCATGAAGCGGATCCCGGCGCTGCCTCCGGGTAGCAGCGACACCAGGCAGCCGGCGATGACGGCGACCTGCAGGGCGGCGCCCAGGGCGGTCAGCACGGTGCTGTGGAGGCTCAGCGCCGCGTACAAGGTACCCCCGAGAGCACACAGGTACACGGCGGCTCCGGGGGAGGTAGGGAGGCCAGCGGCCAGCCTGCTGGGCCCGCGGAGCACCGCGGCGGCCGCGATGGCGAACACCGAGCCAAGCGACCAGAGTAGCGCGAACTTGCGGGCGTAGAGCAGCAGCAGCGGGGCATACAGCGCCGACAAACCGAAGCAGAGTGCGGAAAACGACACGCACACGCCGAAGGCCAGCAGCCGCTGGCGGCGGCTCATGCCCGGCAGGCAGGGATCCGGTTCGGCCGACCACGGCCACGACAAGCCGCCGCTTCCGCCCGAGCTCTGTCCGGAAGTGCTGGCGGACCACGGGCTGGACCACCGGCCGAACCAGCTTCCCGGGACGGGCTCCGGGTCGCCCAGGTCCACCGCGGTGCTGGAGCCGGACTGGGAGATGGTCTTTGCGCCGCCGCCTTTGGACTGAGACAGGTACTCCTGGAGCTGTCGGTTCAGGTCTGCCATGACGGCCCGGCTAACAGGCTAACTGCTAGCAAAATACTTTTTCTTCTTCGCTGGTTGCTCTCCGAGTCTCCCTGCAGCTCAGCGAGCCGCGGCCTCCCGGAGGTCAGAAATAGAACTGCACCTGCCCGGAGTTCACCGGCAGAGGGAGACACGTGACGGGCTTTGTGACGTCACCGGATCAAACCGAAGCAAAGGCCGGGAGTCCGAGAGAGAGAGAACGAAAATTAGATTTAAATAAATAAAATTAAACTGCGGTGAAAAGGGAATTCCCCCAGTGTGGGGGAAAGTTTATATAATCAAGTCAAACACTCTTATTTCAACATCAGTGAAGCCTTCAGGGCCATATCAGCAGCTGTCAATCAAACTGCTCTTAGTGATAAATTCACACTCATTATGATGCTGTGTGTGTGTGCTGGAGTCTGATTTCTCCTCTTCAGTCACATGACTTCAGGACGTTTTCAGCTGTTGTACTAAAATTAACCCTTCAGATGATTGGCTGAAGGACTGACACACACAGCCATCTAGGGTGTGTGTGTCACTCAGAGCAGCAGTCAGAGGACCACCGGGCAGCAGGTAACACACATGACATGCATCTAAACCCATTTAAATACAACAGTCATGATTTATTTAACAAAAAGCCAAAACAGGAAGCAGTAGAGTCCATAACTGAGTTCTGTATCATGTGCTCCTGCATACGTGTGTCATAAAAACGTCTGTACAGGTGACAGCAAACTGATGAAAGGACAACATCAAAGTGCAGCTCGCACCAGCAGGTGTGACGTCAGTGCTGTCATCTGACTGCGTTGGCGAGAGTGAGAACAACAAGCGTAAACAGTCCGATCCCTCAGGAAGTAGCAGGGGTGGACTTTCTCACACGCCGCTCTGTTTGGTTAAATAAATATGACTTCAGATTATTTCTTATTACATCCTGACATGTGACCCAGAATCCTTTAAACATCGGAACAAAAGAAAATCATTAATGAACATATGAACATCACCTCTGACGTTACAGCGGTTTTGTTAGAGACACAGCTGAGGGCAGCACGGTGGCACGGTGGTTAGCACTGTTGCCGCACAGCAAGAAGGTCCTGAGTTCAATTCCTCCATCAGGCCGGGGTCTTTCTGTGTGGAGTTTGCATGTTCTCCCTGTGTTTGCGTGGGTTCTCTCCGGGTACTCCGGCTTCCTCCCACCATCAAAAAACATGCAGATTGTGGGGATAGGTTAATTGAATAATCCAAATTGTCACTAGGTGTGAATGTGAGTGTGAATGGTTGTCTGTCCCTGTGTGTTGGCCCTGCGACAGACTGGCGACCTGTCCAGGGTGTACCCTGCCTCTCGCCCTATGACAGCTGGGATAGGCTCCAGCGCCCCCCGCGACCCTGAAAAGGATAAGCGGAAGCGAATGGATGGATGGATGGACACAGCTGAGTGTTTTGCATTTTGAATAATTTTAAAAAGTTTAAATTTGTTCAGTATTCAATCAATTCAATCTTTATTGGCAGACTTCATGTCCATAAAAACAAGACAGAAACACCCCCCCCCCCCCAACACAAGGTATAAACTATTAAATATATATATGTATATAAATAAGTATATAAAGCATTTGTAAAAATATAAAACCATAATATACATAAAACACAATTACTTAAAATAAACCAATAAATACACAAACACTTTAACCAGTGCTTTCTCAGACTGGATGAGTAACAGGAACCACTCACTGTCGGATCTGTTGAACAGCAGAAATGAGGTTTTCTTTTTGGAAGAATGTAAAAGGGGAAAAAAACAACAGCTGACAGCCTGTAAGAACGGTAGACCTGTGCGTAACAAGCAAGCGAACAATGCAGAAAACAGATTTTTAGACGGGAAACTGATCTTGAAGTACAGAGAGAGAGAGAGAGAGAGAGAGCTGTGCATCATGGTGGAAGCAAAACAGTGAATTCATGACGATGTTTATGTGAAGCTTAGTTTGGATCTTCTTTTGCTGCCGGTTTGGTCAATATTGTTTGGAGAGACATCAAACTAACAGCTTTAGAATCAGCGCGTAAAGGGCGTGAACACAAAGCTCGACCCGCCGACAGATCAGAGTCAGCGACCCGTCGGCTTTCAGCCCCGACCGTGAGAAAGGCGACATCTCACTGATTCTGATCCGCGGGTGTGTTTAAGTCTTTGTGCAGAATCCGTGTTGCTGCTCTCATTTACTGTTTTAGCTGTTTGGTGGTTCTTGAAATTTTGTGAGATTTCACCAGAGATTCTGGTATTCCAGACAAAATAAGTTTATATCAAAAAAGCGATTCAGGATTTTAATGAATCGATTTTACGTTATCCAAGCCAGAATCGATTTTAATCGATAAATTTATTATAAAAACCCACCCCTAATCGGAACCAGCATCACACACACGCACACATACCTGCTAATCCAATCAGAATCCTTCTTGTATGGTCTGTTTGTTCTGTAACCTCACAGCAGCCATATTGCAAGTTTTCCTGAAAGTATAAATGGGTCTGGGCTCTAATGAGCTAATAATACAGGCAGGTGAGTTTTAAAAACATCCTTCCCTCGTACAGGTGTTTGTTTGAGATCAGCCGTAAGCGTGTTTATTTTAACACGGAGACTATGGCGACTAAGTCAGTGCTGTCCCTGCTGGACGTCAGAGGAACTGCAGCTGCTGGTGTTTTAGAGTTGTAGGCTGATGTCTGTGTTTCATTTGTGCTTCAATGGAGGTGTGAGTGCATTCACATGTGTGCTGTTCTGTGATTGGCCAGTGCAGGCATGAATTCACCGCTCTGAGCTGCAGTAACGTCTCTCTGTGTCTCCAGCAGATGGCGGTCTCTCAGATTACCCCCACCCTGTTTCTCAGTGGGGCCGACGCCCCTCTCAACGCAGGACTGGTGTTGAAGAAAGGCATCACTCTGATTGTCAATGCCACACTGAGCCACGCCTGCCCCGCCTACCCAGGGGTGGAGTGCCTGCGGGTCCCTGTCTCCGACCTGCCGAGCGCCCGCCTCGGGGATTACTTTGACTGGGTGGCTAAGCGTATCCATGGTAACTGTGGTGGTGGGACGCTGGTGCACTGTGCTGCCGGGATGAGCCGCTCTCCAGCACTGGTGATGGCGTACCTGATGCGCTACAGGGGCGTGACGCTGCGGCGGGCACACCACTGGGTCCAGGAGAGCCGGCCCTACATCCGGCTGAACGCCGGCTTTTGGGAGCAGCTGTTGCAGTACGAGAAGAGGCTGTACGGGAGGAACACCGTCAGGGTGGCCCCAGAGCCGCCACCCAGGACGCCGCCTGGGACACCGCGGCTGACCAGGTCTCAGCAGCAGACGGGCCTGCTAACACTGGTGCCCAGATCACCGCTGATGTCACGTGCTCAGGTGACATCATCAGCAAACAGATCCAGGAGGGGATCCAAAACCATCAAAGTCTGAAATTCAAACACCTGGATCCTCAGAGGGATCCCTGCGCACACCTCGGTCCCTGCGCACACCTCGGTCCCTGCACACACCTGGATCCCTGCGCACACCTCGGTCCCTGC